CAGAAGACATGAAAAGCGCTATATCAAATGCAAGGATTATTATTACATTTTATTATTACAGCTGTGATTCAACTTAGAGAAAAAAATGCCAATTTAACATCCAGCCAAAAATCCCCCTGGATTTCACTACCATCAAGGTACTTCACTGCACTGCAGCAAGAAGTCTTATCTTGAACACAAATTTTACTTAAGGATCCATAATTTAATAAGAGCAGCCACGTTTGTGTGTGGTGCATCTAGATACTCATAAGACCTTTTACTTGATGTCCCAAAGGATGTACCAAGTCCCAGAGCCTCGAGAGGTCCTCTTAATGTGATAGGTGCTATATAAATGGAATTTGTTGTTGCTGATGGTTGCAGAAGATTGCAGAAGGAGGGTGGGGTAAAACATACAGAAATTTCAAGGTACCCACAAGGATCTTTAAGGGAATCCACTGTGGAAAGGGAGCTAATGTAAATGATAGTAATGGGCTCATGGAGAAGGTGCAGGCTGCAGTGGTTGCAGGCAGGACATTGGAAAAGTCAAATTCGGCTGCATTGTGAGAATTTTGTATAAAGGAATTTGACATCATTCAACAAACAAAGCTATTTCTGAACACCTACTTGCGATGAATAGTAGTGTTCATAGATGGTCTGTACTCTGAAGAAACAGCACGTCTCTGCAGAAGTAATTAATCACCTCAGTATTGATGACAAGCATGGTGATATCTTATCCCTCGCTAATTTTCTCTCCTGTCCTACAGATAGTTTTGACTGTTTCTATCTACTGGTACCATATGTTCTAAGTACTTCATCAAGACATTATACTAGTATCAGTCTGGACAGTAAATGTTGTTGAGGTATTTGACTGAGCTGAGTCTGATCTTATGGCTCACTTGGCATCTACACATATGCAACTCATGCAGGGTTGCTGGATAGCAATCAAAATAGGAAACACTGGTTATTTTCCCCTGTTGCTAATCCTAGCATTGAAGCCATTTGTTGTGTTCTTCCCTAATGCTGTCCATTGTTAAGATCAGCGAACTCATGTATTCAAATTGAGGATTTTTCTAATCTGTATGGCTCACTAAATAAATTAACTGAGCCGTGGGGCGGGGAGGAGGGAAGGGGGCCTAGAAATAGTGTTTTGAGTTTGCTTTGAAAGTTGTCCTGAAACATTCATTCCAGTGCTCCACATGTAGTTTGTGCTGAAGCCTATCTAATGGTCAACCAATTTACAATACTAGTGTAACTTCATTATAATGCTGTAACTCTATAATGTGCAGGAAGATAAATACCCGATAACGCTGGAGTTCAAATCTCATGGTACAATTTTACTTCAATTTAAACTGCATGAGTAAATTATGCCAGGCTCCTACATATTTGTGTCCTCAAAGACCTTTGCTGTTTTTTTAAATGTAAATCTGTCTGAAAACCAAATTCTCCAATTTTAAATGAATTGAATTCCCCAATTTTAAAAAATAGCAAAAGTCTGAATATATTCCAAGGACGTAATTTATTTTAGGGTTTGGTTGACATTTAACACTGAACCCCCTGTATGGTGTTGCCCTCCTTGTACCACACTCCAAATCTACACACTGTCTCCTTCTTATGTATATTTGTGATTCAAGTGCAATGATGAATACCATCTTAAACATCTAAATAAGTGGGTGTTTGCCCACAAAACACAGAATCACTCTGCTTTATAGTACATCATGTGAAGCATTTTGGGACGTCCTCCTGATGTGAAAGGTGATGTACAAAATGTAATAATAAATTATTATTATTATAAATGGAAGGATTATAAATCTTCATGCCTGCATTTAGTTTTCAGTCAAATTGTAGGTTGGTGGTCCTACCTGACAGAGTAGGAGAGAGAGTGAGAGAGCTGGCCCTACTTGAATCATTTTTCTGCAGAATTCTTTGCATTTAGAATCATAGGAGTTGCATGCAGATCAATACATGTGGGAGACCAAAACAAATCAAGAATGCAGAAGCAAAAATGTAGTGTTAGTGAGCACACATCTAATCTACTAATTGCAGTCTATATAAAAGGCAGCTTTAGAAATTGAATCTCGACATTCTTTTTGTTGTTGGTAATAAACCTGTTGCTTACTCAAACATTCAATCTTTTATACAGAGTCGAAGGGAGTGTCTCAAAAATTCTCACACTTGCTACCTACATTGAGTGATTTTTGTTTACAGTGTATGGTGGGTAGGGTTTGCAATCCCGGAATTTCAGGTGCACTATTTCAATATAGAATTCCTGTGATTCCCAGGATCCCGTATGGAAATGGTGTTCTTGAAATCCCAGGATTTCAATCCCTAATGTCGGGTAATTCCCATGTCAACGTGTTTATTTTTTTGTGACCCTTTCACATTTTCCTTTTGTTCCTAACCTGAAATAAAAAGGCAGATTGTCTCAATAGTTACTCACAGAGGATATAATAATAATAATAATAATCCTTGCATTTTGATATAGCGCTTTTCATGTCAGGAGGACGTCCCAAAGCGCTTCACAGAACACACTGTAAAGTGAATTGACTGTATATTTGTGGGCGAACACTGCAGCCAATTGTGCACAGCAATGTCCCACAAACAGTCGTCGATTGAAAATGGCCAATTTATTATTGTTTTGTTTTTTTGGAGGGATTATTATTATATGCATGTATATAGAACATTTGGGTTGTTTTTTAGCTGACTAATTGAGGTGTCATTAGTAAATTTCAAAATCCATGCCACAACCTCCTGACATTTGAGGATGATTGTGAGTAGGCAAATCTTTTATCGAACACTGTACCTTTGGCTGTGTGAGGATTTTTGAGATGTTCAATAGGTTTAGAGAACAATGAGTGTGCATCTCTCACCCTATGTTTTGCATATGGAATTTGATCATGGGAATTAAAAGCTTTTGATGGGAAAAACCTACATGACCAACTCTTTCACCACAAGGTAAAGAATAAGATTGAATAATTGCAGGCTATTTTTTTCAATGGTTTTGTTTGTGCAGTACTAAGTGCTTTGCAATTATCATGGAACATAAAGGAACGCCATTGTTAAAAGGTGTTCACGGTTGGTTCTGAGCAGCAGTACTTAATTGTAAATTGAGAACATTCTCCTTTTGATGCTTCTAAACTTGACTAACCTATCAAGGACCAGAAAACAACAAATGATACGAGCTATCATATCAGATTAAAAATGATGTAGTTGTCTTGCTATCCAAAATCTAATAACCTAACAACATTACCTTTACAGTAATGCTGGTGGTTATTTTAAAGATGGTCTTGGTTGACTGTATTTTCACTATGTATCGGTTAATCTAAGTATACTTCTTTTCCATTATCTTGCTGTACTTTCCATCAACACAAATCGCTGCGGTTACATGCGCAGTATAAGAGAGAAGGTTGATCATTAGTGATAAGACCAGGACGGATTAGTATAGTGTTTCTGTATATCCCAGTTCTTATCACAAAACACATCCTTGACATTCTATGTCAATACAAACTCTTCCAGCTGTTATTTCATATTGTCTCATTTCCCAGACCCTTTGATACTGAAGCAATCTAAATTTGTGTTGCTTGAAAATGCTGATGATATGAATGTTACAATAATTTATCATTTACTTTTCATAAGAAATATTGCTGTTTTCCACATTCCTAAGTATATTTCTGTTTGCTTGTGAAAGTACATTTGTGCTCATTGTGTCATTGTTGAGTCATTTTCTTTGACAAGGTGTATTGTTGGGTTTTATTGAACTGAGTAAGAATTCACATTTTAAATATATACGTGTAACAAATTTATTACTTCTCATCAGTTTAATTTTTTTTCTTTCATAATCAATGATGGTTGTGCCTAACTCGGTTCTTTGTGAGTTATTTTGTTCTCCCTCCCATTTTTCTCCCCTTCATCTCCAACCATGCGCAAAAAAGGCAACTTGCTATATTTACTTCAGAAGCCAATTGACCATAACATCACAAAAGTATTCTTTACCCACTCTCACACTAGGCAATAGACATCTTAAGGTTAAGCCTCCCACATGTCTTCACACTGTAGTTTTACATTGTAGACTGATGCATGGAAATCTCTTAGATGCAAAACTATGAAAGGGATATGTTTATACTAGCCTAGCCACCTAGTAAAAAGAAAGCATTCAGTGTTGCACTTGACTAGAAAGGGCTGCTCTAATGTAAGTTTAGAATGAATTAAATCACTCCAAATTTTAATGGGTGGTAACTATTAATTTTAGGTACTGTGTTCATGTATGCTCCATCTCAAGAATCCTCCTCTTCGATCGTGCTTTCGATCTCCCTGCTTTCCCTGCTGCCCTCCACCCGCCCCGACCTCCAGCTTGAGTCCAATACTCTGTCCAGCGCCTTGGAACATCCTCCCGACGTGAAAGGGGCTTTACAAATGTAATTTTGTTGTTGTTGTGGTATGTTGGAAAAATGTATTTTGTTCAAAAAAAGCAAATTAATATTGTGTTAGTAGACCGTCGAATGATATTAGAATTGCCTATTATAATATCAGTTATACTATTTCTAGGCCTTTCCAAACTCAGATATAATTCCAGAATTCAACTAACTCAGAACAAACCTGTCACCTGGTTTATATTATGTCTTGGTGAGACACCAGGACGTGTATTTATCTATTAGAATGACTAGACTATTGGGGAGAGACATAGATGGATCTTTTTTAAATATGTTGAACTGTTCACACTGAAGTTTTCAAAAGTATGTTTTTAAGAAATTGTGCTTGGCACTCTTATTGTTGTAAAATAAAATTTTAATTTTTATAGCATGTCGGCCAGCATAAGCCACTGTCACTGCTGGAGTCTTTAAAGAACTACTGTATGTCCTTTTGGTAGGATCCAGCGCCTTGGGACGTCCTCCCGACGTGAAAGGCGCTATACAAATGTAATCTTGTTGTTGTCGTTGATCTTGTTACAAACACTTTAAGTTGCCTGAAGTTAATGTAATGATAATATTTGTTGTAATGACTAATTGCCTTTGTTATTTTCATAGGCTTATGAATGCTTTGCAAGTTTGGGAATATCCCGATTACTGGAACCTGCAGATATGGTTTTATTGGCCATTCCAGATAAACTCTCCGTTATGACCTACCTTTATCAGATAAGAGCTCATTTCAGTGGAGAAGAACTGAATGTGGTCCAGATTGAAGAAAATAGCAGCAAAAGCAAATACAAAGTTGGTAACTTTGAAACGGACACAAATAGCTTGATTGATCAGGAGCAATTTTATGCTGAGATAAACGATGTTAAACATGATGCACCACAACAGCAACCTAGCAGTGACTTAGTTGATGGGTCACCTGAGGACGACACTGTATTTGTAAATGACAGTGATGCTGGTGAGTCAGAAATTGAGCGCCAGACTCCTGGTGACCATCTGAGTACCAGTGAAGCATTGCCTTCCTCAAGAAGGACTAAAAATGACACTGATCCTCAAATAAATTATCGTCTCACACAGAGTACTGCTTGGAGTTCTGTGTCAGAGGGCACTGGTGAAAGCGAAAGCCTGGAAACAGCACCATCACCAGTACAGCCATTAGTAGACAAAAAGAAGTTGCTGAAAGTAGACATTTTAGGGTTGAGTGACTTATCAGATGTCATTGAAGAACAAGAAGAGAAATCACCGACGCCGATATCTGAGGATGCCGTGCAGGAAACCCACTGGAGATCATTTGACACCAGTAGCCGCTCTGAACAGGGCAGACTTCAATATTCCGACTCTGCAAACAGCAGAAGTCCAGAGTCCAGTCCTCCCCTGAGGAAGCCCAGCACCTCCCCAGTCCATAAATTGGGGTTCTCTTACAGCAGAGATACAGATCTCATCAAGAAGAAACGTACAACATTGAGGCATTCTGAATCTGAATCTTCAGTAGGTAATGCCAGCACACCATTGAACCAATTAGATCTACAGAACAAAGGTATAGAGGTAAGAATCCATAACTCAAGGCTTTGCTTTTCTGAAGATAATTATTCCCACAAAACTTGTGATTCACCGATATATATATTTCATTTAATAAGTCAATTTAAACAAGTGTAACTCTGCCTTTGTTTGTTTCACTTTGCATTTTTTGTCTTGTTTTGTGATCTAGCTCAACTCTGTCCCACAATCGGAAGTCAACGAGGAAAAGGTAAGAGAAGGATATTGTGTAAATTATGTTTGAAGTTGATTAGGGAAATGCCTGTTGAATTGTTGAATGAATTTAAGGGTTGCGCATTTCAAAAGTACAAATACCAAAGCAGCCCAAAAGCTACAATTCCTAATTGCACCCTAGTGACTCTTGCCGAAAACATGTGTGGTAAGGACAGGATTGGTCTTCATTATAATGCTCTTTTTGTATGTGTCTGTTACTTCCTGGACATCACTGAATATCACTCAATCAAAGGCTGCATGCGCTGGAGCTTGAACCTACAACCTTTTGGCTAGGAAGCAAGAAAACTACCAACTGAGCCAGGCTAAAACCAAAAGGGTAGATTGTATGTAGTCTGTGGAAGGAGTAGACTTATGTACTTACTTACTATATTGTATACTGCTAAGATATTCAAAAGAAAAATGTCAGGTGTTTTCTTGTGTATTTCCCCCCCCAGTCTGCTGAGTTTAGTTTTAGAAATACATTTGCCCAACCAGAAGAAACTTAGCAAGTGCATTTTTTAAGTGCATTCAATTGAACAAATACAACAGATAAACACTCAGACCAACGTTTTATTTAAAGAGAAGTGACCGACTGCCATTTTCTGTAGAGTTATAACTGTCATCAATTGGGTTGTTTGCAGATGAATAAAACCAGATGCCAATTCTCTGTGCCAAGATTTCCTTTTTAATGCATAGAATTACATACAATGATATGGCACGGAAACAGACCATTCAGCCCAAATCGATCATGACAGCGTTTAGACTTCACTTGAACCCCCTCTCTTCCAACGTACCACAAAAGAGAACAGATACCAGTCAGCGCTGAACAGTTGAATAATTTTATTAAGTTTGAAATATTTTCAGTATCTGCCATTACATCTACAATAATTGTGTGAAACATCATATTTATGATAATTTGGAATCATCATAGATGTAATCTCTTTCGTATATACACAAAGTTTTGCGATTGAGTTATAAGTGTCATTGAAAAATAAGTTGCATTATTTTTGATATTTCTCACCCTTTTTTCAGAGGCTAGCAACAAGACAAGAAGAACTTAAAGAGCGAGCAAGACTTCTTCTGGAGCAGGCGAGGAGGGATGCAGCTTTAAAAGCAGGAACTAAACCGTTTGCTCACCAGTCACTGACACCAACCCGCATCAGGCATCTGAATGAGGTATTGCTCTAACTGTAATCTTGTTACTGAGATTGTACAACCTTATTGGGTGTATAGCATAAAGACCCTAAGCTCTGGTGGCATTGACATCATCTTAAATTGTGGAGACAGCAGTGACAGAAAATGATCGTTGCTGGCCCTGCTCTCATAAACATTACTGTACTGTCGTGCTGTTAAGGGCCAAGCATGGAAGTCCTTACTTCAGCATTTGGCCTTCAAAGTAGTGTCCCCACATCTGAATCTTCAACCATTGATAGTCCAGCTGCAGTTCTAACCCATGTTTTCCTGTTCTCTAATATTCCAGACTTAGATGGGCTCATGTAAATGTTCTCCAGCGTATCACAGGAATAATACATTTCGCTCCCACCAACCCACACACACATGAACACACACACACACACTTTATTGCTTCATTCCATGGCTTTTAGATGTGGTGTTAAACATCAGCGATCACAGCTCTTTTTGAGCCCAGGACTTGCAGCAATATAGCCATAATGTGAATCAGCAACAGGAATAACTTTCCAATGATGTTACAGTCATGCTTAAATGCAGTGCTAAACTGCTTCAGCAACTTCTGATAGTGACGGATAAAAAAAAATCTGAATGGCGCCTTCACACATGGGCAGCTCCACTCCTGATGACCTGCTGCTATGTAACGCATGTGCACTCGTAGTCTTGCTAAGGCTGATAGACAGATGGCAGCAAGGGTGACTGGCAAATTTGCTGCCAGCCAGGATAAGAGTCAACTGGCATCAGTGCACCATAATGTTGGCAGTGTGGTGCTTCCAGTGTGATACTGGCATGAAATCCACCTCTAGGGCTGTGTTTTTTGTGTTGGTATGCCTCTGAATTGGGAGTACATAATTCAGTATTTACACTGCTATGTTCTCTTTAACTCACAATCTGGACTACATTTCATCTGAAATGTACTTCACACTAATGCAGCTAAAAGGGACTTCATACCACAAAGGCTATATCAAATGCATCGATTATTATTATATTATTATCTATCGATTTTACTGATGCCAAAGGATGAAACACTAAAAGGTGGGTTAGTAAAGGAAAGAAAAAAATGAATAGAAGAATAAAACAAGAGAAATGACAGCAGAGAACGAGAAGCTTTTTATAAAAAAATTAAGAAAAGGAAATAATCAACAATTGAATAGAACGAAAAGAGAAAACAAACATGAATCATTTAAGAAATATACTAGATTTTATTCAAGTAATTTTGTAGCAAAATAAAATAATAATAGACATTTGAGATAGTGTTTTTCATGTTGGAGGATGTCTCAAAGCGCTTCACAGAATTTACTGTGAAATGTAGTAACTATGTATTTTGTAGTTGGAATGCGTAGCCAATTTGTGCACAGTCATGTCCCACAAACAGCCATCAACTGAATGACCAATTTTATCTGGTGGATTGTTGGCCAGGACAGAGGGAGAAACTTTCTTTTCGTATATTGCCTAGTATGTAACCATGGGAATATTTTATTGAAAAGAAAGGGTATTCTGAATTGTCACAGTAAATTGTTACTCTGCACTCCTATCAGCAAAGAGTTCCAATAATTGGGCAAATTCAGACCAACAGAAGTTACGAGCTAGAATGCTGTGTTCCGGTCTATTTTACCCCAGTTACAGAAAAGCTCACATAAGTCGTATCAGCAACAACAAAATAACATTTGTATAGCGCCTTTCACGTTGGGAGGATGTCCCAAGGCGCTGGACAGTCAGTGTTTCGGACCAGAGCTGGGGGTCGGGATCGAGGAGGGTGGAGGGAAGGAGGGTGGCCAAAGGCAAGTTCGAGGGAGAAGGGTTTTGAGACGGGTCTTGAAGGAGACAAGGGAGAGGGCGAGGCGGTGGGACTGCAGGATGGAGCTCCAGAGGTGGGGGCAGAGTGGCAGAAGGCCCACCTGCCAATGGTGTGGTGGGCGAGGCGAGGGACGTAAAGCAGGCCAGAGCCTGCTGAGTGGAGGGCGTGGGCAGGTTGGTAGGAATTAGGAAGTTGCAGAGGCAGGGGGAAACAAGGCTATGGAGGGCTTTGAAGGTGAGAACCAGGAACTTGAACTGTATCCTCTGTGTGAGGGAAGCCAGTGAAGTCGGCTTCCAGTTCTGGATGATCTGCAGCCTATGGAGGGAGGAGTTGAGGAGGCCGACAAGCAGGGAGTTTGCGTAATTGAGAGTGGATGTTATAAATGCATGTATGAGGGTTTCGGCGGCCTGCGGTGTGAGACAGTGGTGGAGCCGGGAAATGTTGCAGAGTTGGAGGAAGGCAGAGCGGGTCACGGCACAGATGTGGGGTAGAAAAGATAGTTGTGGGTCAAACAAGACCCCAAGGTTCCGGACTGGCTTAGTAAGGTGGAGTGGTGATGCTGTCAGTGCCTGAGATGTGGAGGCGTTGACGGGAGCTAAACAGGAGAGCCTCGGTCTTGTTGATGTTCAACTGTGGAAAGTTAGCTCTCATCCAGGTATCAGTTGGGCCCATACATTTAATTTGACATGTGCAAAGTATGAAAGTGCAAAGTATTCCTCAAAAAACCTTCCCTAGATCCCTCAAACCCCAGCCACTACCGCCCTATTTCTATGCTGGCTTTCCTCGCAAAAGTCCTAGAATGCGTTGTTGCAAATCAACTTCGCTCACACCTCTCCTCCCACTCTCTCTTCGAACCACTCCAGTCCGGTTTCCGCCCTACCCACAGTACAGAGACTGCGCTTGTGAAAGTCACAAACAACATCCTCTCTATCTGTGACCAGGGCTCCCTCTGCCTCCTTGTCCTTCTGGACCTCTCCGCCACGTTCAACACAGTCGATCACGCCATCCTTCTCCACCGCCTTTCCTCCATCATCCACCTCAGTGGGACCGCACACGCCTGGTTCAAGTCCTACCTCACAAACCGCCAGTAGTACATCTGCACAAATGGCTTCTCCTTCTGCTCTTACCTGGTTACCTGCGGGGTACCCCAAGGATCCATCCTTGGCCCCCTCCTCTTTCTGATCTACATGTTCCCTCTTGGGGATATCATCCGCAGACATGGGGTACACTTCCACATGTATGTGGACGACACCCAACTCTATGTTTCCACCTCTCTTTGCGACCCCCAGTCCCCTTAATATCTATCAGCCTTCCTGTCAGATCTCAGGGGCTGGATGAGCGCAAATTTCCTTCAGCTGAACGTTGACAAGATGGAAGCCATACTCTTTGACTCGTCAACGTCTAAAATCTCACAGTTCTCACCTCCTCCACCTATCCGACCTCCCCCTAAAACTCTCCAAACCCATACGCAACCTCGGTGTCAGGTTCGATCCCCAATTATCCTTCCTCCCCCACATCCGATCCCTCACCAACACCGCTTTCTTCCACCTCCAGCGCATCGCCCGTCACCGCCAATACCTCTCTCCGAAAGCCGCTGAAACCCTGGTCTATGCCTTTGTCACCTCTCGGCTGGACTACTGTAACCCCTTCCTCGCCGGTCTCCCATCCACTACCATCCATAAAATCCAGATTATTCAAAACTCTGCCGCCCGCATTCTCACCCACACGAAACTCCACTCCCCGATCACCCCAGTCCTGGCCAGACTGCACTGGCTGCCTGTCCCAGAGAGGATGAACTTCAAGATCCTCACCCTTGTATTCAAGTCCCTGCATTCCTCTGCACCCCCTACCTCTCTGACCTCCTCTCTCCTCAAACAGTGCCCGTTGCTTTCGTTCCTCCGGGTCTGGCCTCCTCCTTGTCCCCCGAGTCCTCCGCTCCACCCTCGGCGGCTGTGCCTTCAGCCACTATGCCCCAAGGCTCTGGAACTCCCTTCCTCACTCCCTTCGCCTCGCTCCCTCTCCTTCTATTTTCAGGTCTCGGCTGAAGACCTTTCTTTTTGACCGCGCTTTTGGTCACCTTCCTCCCCCTCCCCCTGGCTCGGACCCGGGATCCGTTACTGTGAAGCGCTCCGAGACGCTGTCCGGCGTGGAGCGCGCTATATAAATCCAAGTTGTTGAGTTATGTGAAACTTGCAGACGTTATAGGAAATTCAAGAGGACTTGGGCAAATGTACAATTTGGGCAATTATACGATTTATACAGATCAGACTTATGCAAGTTTTACTGTAAAGGTTTTCTTGGATTATACTTTTGTGAAGAATTCCTTCCTCAGCGAGGTTATGACCTTCTTCAGTGAAGCAACATTGGAGGGCTGCTGTCTGTCCTCTTTCATGATGCTGATGTGGCTGACGAGGAGATTCCACTGTCTGCTCCCTGGCTATTTCTCACCTGCACTTTGAAAATCTGAGAAAACCGGAACAAAAGAGGATTGACAGACACCAGTTAGCAAACTGGTATCTCCACTGTCACATTTCACATTATATGGCGACTAAGTAAATACCCTTCCCTTTTAATAATCAGCATATTTTGCATTTCTCCAGGGCTGAAAAGATTAAAATAAGAAATCATTAAAATATGAGACATTGAGATAGGAAACATACAATGAAGCAACCCGATGTGAAAAGGCAAAAAAAATGAATGGGGGAAATTAGGAAACTTGTCCCTCCATTTCAAGTGGCTAAAATAGATGCAATGTTAGATACCAAAATTTCTGTAGACTCCCAAAATATTGAGGAGACCTCGGACTATTCTAATTTGATCACCAGACACCCAGTATGCAATAAATCTGTACTATCAACATTATGGTACCAAGCACAAATGAAATCAGGAGGCAATGGTAAGTGGCCTTTCATTATTCCTGCAATTATAGTTATAGTTCACTTCCTTCTTTTCCTTTTTTAAAAGGTTCATTTGGTTAATCTCGACTTTTATGCAGGACAACATGTCATCTTTGATATGCGCTATTTGAAGATTGCAGTTAAAAGGACGATTAAAGTGTCTTGCTTCCTTGTGATATGAATTCAGAATCGGAATATTATCTCCAGCTTCATTTTTCTTGCACAAATGAAACCTATTCTATTTTAGACACAGTGGCTGTTTGGTGCACGATAATGCTAAGCGGTATTGTTAA